TCTCATATCACAATATTTTTTTCCCCAAATGCTACATTATCCTACTGAGGCCCCATCTTAATTGTAGAGAAAATATAATGAGACACAAGAATCTCTGATTTATGCAGAGATTTGAAAATTTTATTTTGACTTTAGAGCATTTATATTTTTGATTTCTAAAAAAATATTGTGATATGAGACAGCAGCTACTTTATTAAATCATTGGAAATCAACTGATGGGAGTAATCACAGACCAACCACTAATCACCCACACTTTCATTTTTCATTAATCTCAGCTCACCCCAGTGAGGCCCCATGAATAATTGGGAAAATGCTTTGATGTTGAATGTCTCTTATGATCAAAACAAGCTTTAAAAATATGTCGGGTTGGTTTCACTATGTTGGGTTGTTTTGAAGCATGTTTGTTTGCATTGTTCCCTGAGTGTTTGCCAAATTCCCAACCACCTTTTTCATTCAAATGTTTATTAGGGTTCTTTTAATTCTGCAGTTTAAATGAGCTACCATATTTTGCTCTCTCTATACTTCATAGAGAATATGCTTTGTTAATAAACACAATCATGTGAAATAGAGCTTATGGATATTTTCCTGCTCCTGCTCTTTGAAATATTTTTTAGCCTTTTCAAATGTTCTGAAGAAGGAAGATGGTTGGAAGAAAGGAAGGAAGTGACCTGAAAATGGCCCAGAAAATGGCCTGAAAACAGCCATTTTCCAGTTTATTTCCACATCATTTTGTTGTGTTTTTCATACCATTTTTCAGGTCATTTTCAGCCTGTTTTTTTAACTGTTTACCAGGCCATTTTTGGGACCAAAATGGACTGGAAATGGCCCAGAAAATGGTCCAAAAATGGCCAAAAACAGACATGTGTGAACCAGCCAGCTCTGACTCTGTAAATCACTTAGAAATGTCTGTAAAACACGGTAAAGCAGTATATAAGTCTAAGTGCTATTGCTGTTGCTATTAACCCTCTCCTACAAAAACAACAAAAATCAAAATTAACAGATTTGAACTACAAATCAGAGAACTTGGGTGAACAGTGCTACGGTACTTCTAGATCAGGGCTATCAAAGTACCGGCCTATGGGCTGGATGCGTCACATGCTGGCCACGCCCACACCCAGGTTAGCAAAGGGGAAAAATATCCTGACACATCATGTGATGCCACCATGATGATGTGAGTTTCAAACCCCTGTTCTAGATCATTCTTTCCTCTCTCCGCACTGCAATCAATTTCTCTGTATATCACTTTGGTTTAGCAAATGAGACCTTCCCCTACCACAAAATATAGTAGACATTTTCATTTTCTCTGTTGTATTTTAGAACTTCTTGGCACAAAGACAAAAATAATGCATGAACCCATGGAAGGGTAGGACTTCTGGCTGACGGATCTGTCAGTCTTTTTCTGATTTCAGTAAATATTGGGAAAGAAACGTCAATCTCTCTCACAGTGAATGCTATAATAATCATGGAAGTGCCCTATTCATATGAACACATCCTAGTCTCTGTCTAACCTAACAGAAGCATCATGAATAATATAGAAAGAATTGCCTTGTTTCATTTCACCATGAAATGCCCAGTGGGTCATTCCCTCAGTTCCTTTGTGGATCTGCCATAGCAGAAAGGGGGCATTCATGCCATAGTAGAGGGAGGGGGGTATAAAGAGGGTGAAATAATGCTAAAATATTGGATTTTTTGATTTCAGATGCAGCTCGCTGTGACTCCTGCCCAGAAGATCAGTATCCCACCAAGGAGAAGGACCACTGCATTGCCAAGAGGCTCCGCTTCCTCTGCTCTCAAGAGACCCTGGGATACACTTTAACTTCTCTGGCTCTTTTTCTCTTTACGATCACATTGGCAGTTCTGGCAATTTTCCGTAAACATCATGACACTCCAATCGTCAAGGCCAACAATCAAGATCTCACCTATATCCTCCTGGTCTCCCTCCTGCTCTGCTTCCTCTGCTCCTTCCTCTTCATTGGTCGACCTAGGAAGCTCACCTGTCTCTTCCGACAAATTACCTTTGCCATTCTCTTTGCCCTTGCAGTTTCCTCCGTGTTGGCAAAAACTGTCATGGTGGTTCTGGCCTTCATGGCCACCAAGCCAGG